GCTCCTGAAGCTAGCGCGTCTGGCGGCGTTTCCCCTGCGGCTGCCGGACGGCCCGGCGACGCAGTCAACGAAACCGTCGGCGCTGCGGAGGCTTGCGCACGGCCCACGGGGTCGGCCATCTCCTGCCGTAGTCGTCGTAGGTCGGTTTCGCGCGGAAAGGGCGAGGACGACGACGATGCCCCTACCCAAAATGGCTCACGGTTGCGGCCAACCGGCTGCCGCGAGCCGCCCGACGAAGAGATCGGAGTAGCTGCTGGCGCCGACGGCGGCGGCGCCGTAAAACGGGCGCTGCTGGAGTCGGCAATCCGCCGTTCCAGCGGCGAGCGCACTGCAAGGGATCACCGCCCCCGGCGCCCCCGGCCACGGGCCGAGGAGCCCCAGGAGCGCCCCGCGGTCTTCCAAGCCGCGCGCGCTACTCGCACCGGCCGCTGATCGGTCGGCCCCGGCGGCGCCTGTTGTCCCAGAGGAGCAAGTGGCGAAGATGATGGTGCTGATGGTGGTGCTGGGGCAAAAGCGCTGAAGAAGACAGCGCGTCCTTGTCGGCGGCGCCCGGGGCAGTCGCGCGCGCCGTGCTCCTCGGAGTCGCACTCCCCCTTCCGGACCCGCGGGTTTGCCTCGGCGCCCCGAACCCACGCCCGCGGCCCTGAACTCCCTTCCCCGCCACCATTGCCGTTCCCGTAGCCCGCGAGGGTCTCCCAGAGGTCGTTCTCGGACAGGTGAGTTAGGGAATCGCGGTGGCCTTTACATTTGCCTGTCCTCTTCCGTTCGATGACCCCCTGGGCGCGGCGCGAGGGCTCGCGGTCGGCGAAGCTGCGCCAGCGTGCTTCGCCGCGCCCGAAAACCCAGAAAAAGTGTACCCCAAATTATTCCACGGGAGTGTCGCGTAGTTCGGGGTCGTCGGCGACTATATCTCCTCGCCGACTGCGCGGGCAGCGTCGGCGCTGGCGCCCGGGTCGATCTCCGCCGCCGGGCGCGCCCACTGCGCCCGCGCTGCCGCGCTAGTAGAGGCGCGGCCTCCAGACGCGGCCTCGGCCGGCACAAGGGGGGTTCGGTGCCGATCCCGGCGCAGCACGCCCATTCCGCCCCAGCTCTGCCCCAGCGCGGGCGCGCCCGTGAGGAACGCGCGCAGGTTGGGCAAAGCGGGCCGACGAGGCGAGGTCACCTGGCGATCACTCTATCACGCGCCTATGGCGTCCCAGCTGGCCCGTCACATGGGCGAGCTGCTGAGCGTTCGCTGGGTAGGCCATGCTCACATGTTGCGGGGGCATGGCAAGTTGTGCGTTCGACACGCCAACGGCGCGCAGAAGGAGGAAGCTGCGCCCCTCGCAGCCGATCGTGGGTTGACCAGCTTGCTGCGCCCGTTAGCGGAGGATGCCGACTGTCGTTAGGAAATTGTCGATGCACTGCTGCGGCAGTCGGTCGAAGTTCATCATAACCGTCACTGCCGAGGTGCGCTCCTCTTCGCCCAGATCGCCCCATCGCTCGGCCAAGATGTGCACCAGGAAGGGAGGCAATCGGTGGCACTGGGTTGACGTAGGTCGGAGGGGGCACATATTGCTACTGCGCCCACGCGGGCGATGCAGCTTGCGATGGCGCACATGTCGACTCCGATGGCCTTGCATCCGACATGTAGCTCCCTCCACATGCCGTACAGGTGCTGGAGGCCGGGGGTCCTCAAGCGGCGCTGCATGAGTCGCCGAACATACTCGCCCCAGATGGAGAGCGTTTCTTTATGTTCGGCGATGACGGGCGTCATGGGGGAGGGGGGGGGCGGGGGGGGGTATGACGTAACGCCCCCCCCCACCCGCCGTGTGGCTCCGGCACCACAGCCGCGCCCGCGCGCACGACGCGACGAGCGACGAGCGACAAGCGACGACGACGACGACGACGACGATGCGAGCAGCATGTAGGTGGCGATCTGCCCCAGTGCGCCTGTGTACACCACAACGGTCGCGTGCACCACATCGCGCGTGTACACCACAGCGCCTGCGCACATCGCAACAACCGTGTGCGACGCAGCGCCTGTGTACACTGCAGTGATTGCGTACACTACAGCGCTGGTGTACATGTGTACATGTGTACACCGGACGCAACCATGTACAACACAGCGCCTGTGTACACCACATTGCTTGCGTGCACCGCGGCGCCCGTGCACGCCACAGCGCTTGTCTTCACCACAGCATCCGCGTGCAACGCAGCGCTATTGTACACCACAATGCCTGCATGCGTAGGACAGGTAGAAGAGGTAGAAAGAGCCTGTACGTGAGGATCTGGTGCGGAAGCGCCACGCCAGGAATTGATAATCGAATGCGACGTTGTTCCCTCTTCCCTTCTCCTCCACTTCCACATCCTCCTCCTCCTCCTCCTCCTCCTCCTCCTTTTCTTTTTCCTCCTCCTCCTCCTCCTTTTCCTCCTCCTCCTCCTTACCCCCTGTCGTGCGGGTTGGCGCTACAGCACACGTGCGCAACTCAGCGTGCACCGCAGAATGGTCGATTGAATCGGCCCAGTTGGTTCTCGGACGGCCACTTTAGCTGGAGCCTCCTGGACGCAGATGGGAAAAGTTACGGTGATGCGGACGAACTCGGAAGGACTCGTCGATTCCCCTGGCGGTCCCTGGTCCATAAGGATTATTTTCTTGTGTTTTCGGTGGAATCCACAAACGCTCCATTTTGTCACAATGATTCCTTCTAACATTCTACATGCAACAGTGGTGCTGTGTTGCACACGGTGGCTGTGGTGCACACGAGCGCCGTGGTGTACACAGGCACTGCAATGCACGCAGGCATTGTGGTGTACACTGCTGTGCTGCACACGGCTGATGTGGTCTACGCAGGCGTTGTGGTGTACGCAAGAGCTGTTGTGCCCGTGCGCGTGGTGGCACAATCTGACGCTGTGTTGCACGCGGCTGCTGTGGTGTACATCGGCGGTGTGGTGTACACAGGCGCTGTGGTGCATGCAAGCACTGAGGTGTACACAGGCGTTGTGGTGCAGATCGCCACCTACATGCTGGTGCCACCCGTCCTCCGTCATTCCTAAGCATTCCCAGGCGCCGCCGGCGCGAAGCGAGACGTCATCGAACCCCTCCACCCCCCCAAATGATTGCCGTCATCGGCCCGGAAAAAAAAAAGGCTCCAGCCGCGTCCGCGCGCACGACGACGATGAGCGACGAACGACGAGCCACGAGCCACGAGCGACGACGACGACGACGTCGACGAAGACGAGTGCGGACCAAACTCATATGCGGATTCCTACGCGGACACCTACACGGATCCCAACACGCACGGCGGCAGTGCCCAGAGCGCATTGGGGGGGGAGCGTTACGTCATAGGGGTGGCGGGGGCCATGACGCCCGTCATGCCCCAAGCAATAAAGAAATGGTATCATGTGTGCCTGGTCGTCAGCGAATTCGGCGTCCGCTTCTGTCGTGCCACTGTGGTGCTCGCGGCACTCGGAGCATCCCGCGACACTGTGTCATGAATGCTCTTCGTGCTTCGCGTGGTCACTGGAATGAACACCACCAACTGCACCATCGTTTCAATGAATGTGCTTCGGGGTGTTGTCCTGCCCGGCTGGCGGGTCTGAACAGGTAGAGCGACGGGTCGGGCCCCGAGGCGTGGTGCCTCGGAACGATAGCGTCCCAGTCGCCGTGCCCACCAGCGCGTTACCTAGGGGGGTGAGAACTCAGTTCCCGCACTCCCCACCGCATCCCAACTTAGCGCCAGCGACACAGTCGCCGGATGCCTCTTCTCTGGTTGCTTTTCCCAGGGCTCTCGAGACACAAACCCAGGAAGCTCGGGACCTTGTTGTGGCACCGCAAATGTGCACGTTGTGTCGAGCAATTATCGAACACCTGAAACTACCCCCGCGGGCGAGGGCGACGACATTTTGGCGTCCGCAAACAGCCTGGGCACAGTCCGAACGTGCCCAGGATGGGTCACAGAGCGGTCATTGTAGCTTTTGGTGGTGTTGTCGTTGATAAAATACTGATTGTGCACGCTCCGGGTCGCGGGTCCTGGCGGATGGGCTGGCACAGCCCCGACGGACCCTAGAATCACGTTCCCTGCCTGGGCTAAGGGGAGCCAATGCACGAAACCGGAGATATTGAAGCCGATTGACCAAATTCGAAGGCGGCGGATGGTGGAAGCCATTGCGGCCGATGCGAAGCGAGACATGGCGAACGTGGTGGGGGCAAGGGTGAACCTGCTCCGCTACAAAGTAGACATGAAGATGTAGGAAATGATGTAGGAAAGCGCATTCCTGTCCTGAGGGCGGAATGTACCGACAAAAATGGAAGGCGCGAGTAAGGCAGGCACGGGAGAACTGCGGGCTTCCGTATCCCAGGGCCGAAGAGGCAGCGGATAGACTGGGTGAGAAACAGGCGAGGCAGTAGGATGGGGGACACACCTACCGTTCGAGTGGGAGGAGGAGGAGGAGGAGGAGGAGGAGGAGGAGGAGGAGGAACGAGCGGAGATGAAAGAGGCAAGAGAAAGAGGAGGACGACGAGGAGGGAGGCGGGAGAGGGAGCAGGAGAATAAGGATCGCGCAAGCACTGCGCTATTCAGAACGAGAACCCAATCAGCATGTGTATTATGATGCGCGTTTGCTAGCAAGTGGTTTTCCCAGGGGCACGGCTGCTAAAAATGGGCTCGGAAACGCACGCAAAATAGAACGGTACTGGATTTTCCGAAATGAAGAAAACTCAACCACTCCCGGAAAGGGGGGCGGAATAATGACACACGACACCCCCTGTTCCAAAATACTTTTAGAAATTTACCAAACATGAGCGGTTTCGTCGGTTTGGCCAGAGACATCCCGCGAAAAATGGCCCACGGCACCCCCGCCCCAAAAGGGTACATGTTGGCGGCGCTTTTTTTGTAGCCGTGCCCCCAAGAATATAGTTCCTGATTTCCATCCGTCCGTCCAGCCGCTTAATGTGTTTCGTGCATCTGCTGAATGATTGAGCAGGCACCTCTTGATCAGGCCCACCCATCTCTTGTCACCTTATCCCTCCATGCCTGTGGCGTGCATGCGACTTCGCATCGGGGGCCCAAGGCTGTCCAGCCCCGCTGAGGCAAGTCCTCACAACTGATTCATGAGAGCCTGCACGGTGAGAGGCCAAAGCAGGATAATGATCAAGAAAGCCGACGGACACAACAAAGCACGAGGACTCTGTGTAGAGAGGACGATACCACAGCGATGGCAACGACAAGAACGAGAAGCAAGAGAGCGAGGCTGAGATCGGCGGACACGGGGTGTGAGGGGGATGACAGGAAGACAGAGAAGGAGAGCACGACGGGAACATGCAAAGCAGCAGGACATCGGAGGGCGATAATCCTGTGCACAGTATACCCAGTGAGTGATTGTCGCTGCCCTCGGCCTAGTCACGCCTTCGGTGAAGCTTCTCGTCACCCAGCCTCATTGCATTACTTTTGAATTGGCTGACATCGCTCCCCACTGCCGACGCAGCAGCCGTCCAGCCTGGCCGCTCATTGTTACCGCCGGTGGGTGCGTGTATCCCGCTACGTTGGAAGCGAATGTGACATTCACAATGCTGGATGCGGAACATGTGCGCTTGCGTTTGAGACAAGACATTACGCCGCCGACTTCCCCGCTCGTTGCTCGAGACCGAGATCGCGATTATGCTTCTGGCTAGCAAACTCAAGCCACTGAAAAAGCGCCAGTCAGAGGCTACCCACGCAGTCGCGTTTCAGGCTGGACAGCACGCACACGAATCAACAAACTGGCGATCAGCTTGATCGAAAAGTTCAAAGTGCTGCAATGGACTGGAAGTCAAACCTGTCCACGCACCACACAATGACTGACTGCCAGCGGCACCCTCAGTCTCCCTGGAAAGCAGCATCCCACACCCGAGTGTAGTATAGGGACGCCTCTTGTATGGCCCATTATGGTTGTCTTGTCAGACCAAGTGTTGGACAACTCAAACGAGGAGGTGGTTGAGCCAAGATGTTCAACACAAGAAACAATGGCGGGCAATGGAAGGACCGACAGCATCACCTCACACTTCTGTAAAACGAAAGGGTACAGATGCCGGGCCAGGCTCACACTACATCGAGACCGATGGAGTCGCCTGGACACTCCGTCGGAACAAATGGAAAGGCTCCCGAGACGCACGTCTTCACGGGTACCGGCATCGCGTTCGCTGCCACCAATCCCAGAAACACTTCGCATGGGATCTGCAGAATCAGCACGAAAACCACACCGCGTTTCGACGCCGCAAGCGACACGCCCTTGCAGTGAAAAGCGACGGTAATAATGACGCTAGAATCCCTGCGCCACCTGATCCGCTTTCCTGCCTCTCGTCGCAGGCGCCTCGCCAGCATCTGGCGACAGTCTGGGCATCAGGAAGGGCAATTGCCGAACACAACTTCGGGCGGCCATCCAGCTTAGGACAAGCGAGCATGAAATCGCAAGCCGAGAATTTGCGAAGACCCGTGGGCATGGAAGCAAGAAAGCTTTCGGAGGTGTGGCGATGGCGATGGTCGCAATGATATATTCGCCCCAGACATCGAAGGCCCCAGGGCCTCCTCTAAGGAATATAATGCGGGCGGACCCGTACGCTCCGACATCGTGGCGCAGCCGTTGACACATTTCGTTGCACGACGACGATGATGATGATGATGATGATGATGATGATGGTGATGATCAGTATGATGCTGATGATGATGGTGATGATGATGCTGATGCTGATGCTGATGATGATGCTGGTGCTGGTGCTGATGATGATGCTGATGCTGATGCTGATGCTGATGCTGATGCTGATGATGCTGATGCTGATGCTGATGATGATGATGATGATGCTGATGCTGATACTGATGATGATGATGATGATGATGATGATGATGATGATGCAGATGCTGCTGCTGATGATGATGATGTTGACAAATTTCGCTGCACGAGTCGCCCCCTCATCGTCCCCCTGGCTGAGCTGCAAAACTGCCCCCTGCCGGCGCTGCGTTCCCGGCCTCGTGTCGCTGCCTCCCTCGATGATGCCTCGTGGCACCTTCACTGTTACGCCGCTACGCTCAAGTCGGGCATGTCCCTCTACAGGAGGAAGTTTCAAAAATAGTCAACCAATAATCTGGAGACGATGATTCTATCATTGTTGATCTTTTTGATGGTTTCTTGGTTATTTAAACTTTTCCTCCAAAATCTGCCTGTAGGGCGAAATGGCCAAACTAACGCTACGCCCTTTCCATTGAGTCTTCCTCACCGCCTCCATTCACTGCCGCGCTGCCTCGCTGTTCGCTCGTTGTCCGAGTTTCTCGCGGGGTTCCCGCGCAGAGTACCTCTTTGCCACGCTGCCTTACTGCAAGCTCACCGCCAAACTCGTTCCCTGAAACCGTTCCTTCGTCCCTGAGTGTCGTTGCCTCCTTGACGCGCCCTCTAGTCTGGAACAGCTTGGACCCTCTCTGGCAGTGGATACACCCACACATCGATGGGGGGACGGAACAGAAGGTACGGGGTGAATCCAGCGGTGGCGACGAGGGCCTCCCGGGAGGCACAACATGATCGACCCACGAACCCAGAAAGGAATATAGAAATGTACGGCATGGCAACGTGTCCAAGACACCTGCTTGGGCGACGGGCAAACGCAATGCTGAATGTATAGGTATTGATGTACCGTGCCGCAGTCTGTACTGTGCTGCGCCGTGCTGAATTGCGATGTGCCATGCCGCGATTGTGCTCTATAGCGTTGTGGATCGAGTCCTCTTTGCATCCGAGTCCTGACCGAACTAATCTGGATCTTAATCTCGAGCTGCCTCAGCACATAGTAGCTGCCCCAGAGCTAATTGACAGGGGAAAATGCCAGGAGGACGCGCCGCGGAACGTCCCAAGGGACGCGTCAGGCGACGTGCCAGGGGACGTGCCACGGGGACGCACAATGGGACGTGCCGAGGGACGCGCTACGGAACGTGCCAATGGACGTGCCACGGGACGTGCCAGGGGACGCGCCGCGCGACGTGCCAGTGGGACTCGCCACGGGACGCGCCACGGAACGTGCCAAGGAACGTGCCAGGTTGCAATGCTGAGTGGATCGATCTTGATGTACCGTGCCGAAGTCTGTGCTGTGCTGCGCCGTGCTGAATTGCGATGTGCCATGCCGCGAGTGTGCTCTATAGCGTTGTGGATCGAGATCTCCTTTGCATCCGAGTCATGACCGAACTGATCTGGATCGTAAGCTCGAGCTGCCTGAACACATAGTAGCTGCACCAGAGCTAATTGACAGGGGGACATGCTACTTAGGAGGACGCGCCGCGGAACGTCCCAAGGGACGCGCCAGGCGACGTGCCAAGGATCGTGCCATGGGCACGCACCGCGGGACCTGCCAAAGGAACGCGCTACGGAACGTGCCAATGGACGTGCCACGGGACGTGCCAAGGGACGCGCCGCGCGACGTGCCAGGGGGACTCGACACGGGACGCGCCACGGAACGTGCCAAGGAACGTGCCAAGTTGCTATGCTGAATGTATCGATCTTGATGTACCGTGCCGAGGGCTGTGCTGTGCTGCGCCGTGCTGAATTGTGATGTGCCATGCCGCGAGTGTGCTCTATAGCGTTGTGTATCGAGTCCTCATTTGCGTCCGAGTCCTGACCGAACTGATCTTGATCTTAAGCTCGAGCTGCCTCAGCAGATGGTAGCTGCCCCAGAGCTAATTGGCAGGGGAAAATGCCAGGAGGATGCGCCGCGGAACGTCCCAAAGGACGCGCCAAGCGACGTGCCAAGGAACGTGCCATGGGCACGCACCGCGGGACCTGCCAAAGGAACGCGCTACGGAACGTGCCAATGGACGTGCCACGGGACGTGCCAAGGGACACGCCGCGCGACGTGCCAGGGGGACTCGCCACGGGACGCGCCACGGAACGTGCCAAAGTGAAATGCTGAGTGCATCGATCTTGATGTACCGTGCCGAAGGCTGTGCTGTGCTGCGCCGTGCTGAACTGCGATGTGCCATGCCGCGATTGTACTCTATATAGCGTTGTGGATCGAGTCCTCGTTGCATCCGAGTCCTGACCGAACTGATCTTGATCTTAAGCGCGAGCTGCCTCAGCAGATGGTAGCTGCCCCAGAGCTAATTGACAGAAAGTACATGCCAGGAGGACGCGCCGCGGAACGTCCCAAGGGACGCGCCAGGCGACGTACCAGGGGGCGTGCCACGGGGACGCACCGCAGGGGACGCGCTACGGAACGTGCCAATGGACGTGCCGCGGGACGTGCCAGGGGACGCGCCGCGCGACGTGCCAATGGGACTCGCCACGGGACGCGCCACGGAAAACCTAGGTGCAATGTTGAGTGTATCGATCTTGATGTACCGTGCCGACGGCTGTGCTGTGCTGGGCCGTGCTGAACTGCGATGTGCCATGCCGCGATTGGGCTCTACATAGCGTTGTGGATCGAGTCCTCTTTGCATCCGAGTCCTGACCGAACTAATCTGGATCTTAATCTCGAGCTGCCTCAGCACATGGTAGCTGCCCCAGAGCTAATTGACAGGGGAAAATGCCAGGAGGACGCGCCGCGGAACGTCCCAAGGGACGCGCCAGGCGACGTGCCAGGGGACGTGCCAGGGGGACGCACCGCGGGACGTGCCAAGTGGACGCGCTACGGAACGTGCCACTGGACGTGCACCGCGCGACGTGCCAGGGGGACTCGCCACGGGACGCTCCGCGGAACGTGCCAGGCAACATGCCAGGCTGCAATGCTAATGGTATCGATATTGATGTACCGTGCCGAGGGCTGTGCTGTGCCTGGGCGACCTGGACACGTGAAAACACGCGTTCCGCTCAAAACGTTCTCAGCACATCCTCATGCTAGACATCCGCCTGGGCAACCTGGACACGTGCACACAAGCGTCTCGATCGAGACTTCCTCGACACATCCTCATGCTAGACATCCGCCTGGGCGACCTGGACACGTGAAAACAAGCCTCTGGTTCAAGACATCCTCAACAAACCCTCATGCTAGACATCTGTCTGGGCAACCTGGAGGCGTGAAACCAAGCGTCTCGTTCGAGACATCCTCAAGACCTGGGCACGTGAAAACAAGCTCTCACTTGAGAGATCCTCTGACTTCAGGTCCCCAGGAGAGGACAATCTATAACACAAAACAAGCGTTTCGCTCGAGACATCCTCAACACATTCTGAAAAAAACAAACGTTTCGCTCGAGACAGCACCACATTCTAATTCGCCCGCCCTACGCGACCTCATTATTCGATAGCAAAATAATGTCGCCGGCCCTACAGCCGTCAGAACCGGGGGTAAACACACTGAAAGAGAACCCTGGGCCGGAGCCCTTTCCGGGAAAAAGGGAAAACGAGGCAAGGCAAGGGTAGTGGTATGGGTACCTTTTCGTCCTCGGACTAGACTTAGGTTGGGCATGTCCTCCTACAGGCGGATTGCGGGCGAAAAAACGAAAAATATGAACACATTCAAAAATAATCCAAAATTCACAAAAATCGTCCCCATATCATATTTAAAACTCTTTGGACATTCCTCCTGTAGAGGGACATGTACGACTTAAGACTAGAAGCGCGAAATGGCGGCACGGAGGGCACATCCACGGCAGAGGGAGCTGCCACGCCACGAGCCGAAGTGTGCTGGCGGCAATGTCTCATACACACACACACACACAAACAAACAAACAAACAAACACACACACACACACACATACACACACACACACATACACGCGCACCGTTCAATCAGGGCGCCGAACGCCTGCATGAATGAGCAACTCGACTACACGCAAGACTGACCCTGGTCAAGAGTGACCTTTGGTGCGCGGCCTGGTGGGGCCGCGGAGGAATCAAACACGAGCGCGCAAGACGCTACTACCGCATCGCGCTCGGCGATCGGGGGGCCCCATTGGGCCCACACCAAAGGTCACTCCGGCGAAGGGTCTCTCTTACATGCAGTCGAGCGACGGGCTGGAGAGGAAGAGCACGGGGACCACGACCAAAACTGACCGCGGAAACATTGTGCCTGTCTTGGTCGCCATCGATCTTGGCCAGCGCTATTCTGTGGCTCATCCTCGCGGCTATCGCCGACGGTCGACACATGGACCGTGGCCAAGATCGGCATCGACGAGATCCCGCGATGTCTTGGTCATGGTCAGCGTGTTTCTCCCCTCGGGGGCGCGCAAACATGGATCAGCGATTCATGGATTTGGCGCGCGGTCGCCAAATCCATGGATCGGGAAAAGCGCCCTCCCCAAAATGCGGCCGTTGCCGCCTCGCTCGGCGGCGGAAATCCGCGCGATTCCCCGTGGAATCCCCGTGGGACCCGTCGCGAATCCACGCCCCCGGAGAATCCCTGCTCGCGATCGCCGGATCCCCTCGGCTGGTGCAGGCCAGCAGCGCGAGGCACGCCGAGGCGCAGTGCCGCGACCCCGAAGGCTTCAGTCGGGCCTGTCCCCCTACAGGGGGATTTTCGACGAAAAATAAAAGATACCCCAAAAATGATCAGAAAATAATCCAAAAATAGTCTGGGGACTATTTTTTATGTTTTTTTACCTTTTTGGGGCATGTTTGGGGTATGTTTTATTTTTCGTCGAAAATCCCCCTATAGGGGGGGACACGCCCGACATAAGGCTGGTGCAGGCCAGCAGCGCGAGGCACGCCGAGGCGCCGTGCCGCGGCCCCGAAGGCCCCCCGCCCCCCCTGCGGGCGAGCCGGCCTGCGCCTCGTCGCCGCTGCCCAGGCGGATCAGCACCCGGGCGGCTGCCTGCGTCTGGGGAGGCGCAGGGGCACGCAGGCCGAGGAAGGCTCCGATAGGGGGCCACATGCGAACCCTGCCCCTACCCCCCACGATTTCTGAGGGGGAGGGTGGGGTTCACTTCGTTCGGGAGCTCCCGAATGAAATGAACCCCACCATCCCCCTCAGAAATCGTGGGGGGTAGGGGCAGGGTTCGCATGTGGCCCCCGATCCGAGGCGACGCCACGCGTCCCAGACCCCCTCGAGCAACGAAAAAAGATCACCACGGGAGGCCTGTGCCATTTTTGGCATCTGGGGGCCCTCGCCAGGCCTCGGGACCGTCAGAAACGAGTCGGCAGGAGAAGCGGGTCCTGGGGAAGGGGTCGAGACCTCATGACGTCGGGGGTTTGGGGTAGGGAACAAGCAATGACGCAAACAGAAACTGCTGGAGGTCCGCGGGGATTTCTCGGATCGGCGCCGGAGTCACTCCCTGGCGCGCGGAAGCGCTCCCAGGGGGGCGCCAGAGGCGCCGCCAGGGGGCCCTGGCGCCAATCTGAGAAGTCGGCTCGGGCCTCCGAGAGGTTATGCTCATCGGAGGCTGGGGGGTGAGATCGAAGTGGAACGGAGAGCCCCTCACCGGGTAATCGATTTCGGTTTCGGGCTCGTGCCGTGCGTGCGGCCGAGGCGAAGCTGCGGGGGAGGAAAGCATACGCTATGGCTATGGCTAGAGCGGGTCAAGACAAGAGACCGCCCCTCTGGTGGGCCCGCGTGGCCAGGGGTGTCCCGCCGTGGTGCCCCGCTGGTGTCTCCTCGGCGTCCGCGGGCGGCGGCCAGGGGTGTCCCGCCGTGATGTCCCATCGGTGTTCTGTCGGCGTCGCGTCGGTGTCCCGCCGTGGTATCCCGTCGGTGTCCCGCCGTGGTGTCCTGTGTCGGTGTCCCGTCGGTGTCCCGTCAATGGCCCGTCGGTGTCCCGTCGGTGGCCCGTCGATGTCCTGGTCGGTGTCCCGGTCGGTGTCCCGTCGGCTGCACCCGAAGGGTGGTCGTATAGGTGTCAGCTCTTCCCCGAACACGCGCCAAAGCGGTTTGCGTGCGCCTCCCGCCTATGATCGGAGGTAGGCAAGCAAGGAAGGGGCAACATAGTGATGCTCATTGAGCCAGTAACGGTATTGGTACCTTTTCCTCCTCTCTGGCGGCGCGCACAAGTTGATAATTAGGGGGAAGGGGGAAGACTTCTTAGAAGGAGGCTGCTTCTTAGAAGGCAGCGGCCCTACATCTATAGATAAGGCCAGCGCCTTCTAAGAAGCAAGGGTGCTTCTACGAAGCCGCACTCCCCCTCCCCCAAGCCCCCTCGATCCTGCCGGATCCCGCGCGTACACCCGCGCCAGTACAACATGCAAGATGCGGTGCTCTAGCTGACCCCCGCTTGCATGGACCCCGTCTCAAGTCTCCCGATGTTTCTCCTCTCTGGTCTGGGCCGAGATAAATGGGGGGGCGATCAATGGGGGGGCAGCGAGGGCTGCAGAAAAGAGGCCCTCTGGGGCCACTCAAGGAGCCCTTTCGGGCCCGAAAGGGGGCCTGTGGGGTCCGAAGGGTCCACCTTTTCTCCCCCTGCATCTCCCCCCCCCCTGCACGCGACGCCCAACCCCGCCTCCCGACGTCATGCCTCTTCCATGACGTCGACGACCCCCAGCCCAGAGGTCTCTGCCCACTCCCAGGGACAGGCTTTGCGTCCTGAGAGTGCTTGTCGGCGGCCCCAGAGCCCGGCGAAGGCCCCTGGAGGCCGAAAGCAACAATCTGAGCAGGGACCGACCGTCCCGGCATTCCTACAGTCCTACCACGAAATGTTCTTAGAACCCAAAGATGTCCTACGAACAAAAACAATGTTCTTAGAACACAAACCCGATGTGTTAAGCCAAGACAGACTATGCCAGAAATGCCGGAACATCTCGTGGAAACCACAAAAACAGTTGTTTGAACATTGTTTGGTAGGGCTATAGGCGAGCCAGGACGCTTCGCCACTGCCTGAAGATTGCTTGTTGGCGGCCTCGGAGCCCGGCGAAGGCCCCTGGAGGCCGAAAAAGCAACACTCGACGCCCAGACCGGAGCTCCGCCGCCGGCCCCTCGCAGGACGCCGCCCGCCTTGGCGGTCTCCGCGGCCTCGGGCCCGGCGGGCGCGCGCGGCCCCAGGGCGTCCCGCAGCGGCTGGAGCGCGGGCGGGAGGCCGGCCTCGAGCCACCTGGCGAAGGGCGGCGGAGCGGCTGAGCGACGAGCGCAGCCGCGCCCCCGTCGGTCTGGAGTCCGGGGCGCGAGGCCTTCTCCCCCTCCTCCTGCCCCGCCTCCCCGTCCTCCTCCTCCTCCTCCTCCCCCCCCTCCTCCTCCTCCTCCTCCTCATCCTCCTCCTCCTCCTTTTCCTCCTCCTCCTCTTCCTCCTCATCCTCCTCCTCCTCCTTTTCCTCCTCCTCCTCTTCCTCTCCGGTCCACTTCCTTATACATGACTTTTCCCTGTCGCACCCCGAGGCCAGTTTCTACGGCGGGCTGGGCGTTTCGCCTTAGACTTCCTCACCATTTATGACCCCGAAGCTGAAACATTGGCAACAATTTCACAGATGGAGGGCAGGTCGTTTTCAACAGGTGGCTCTCGCATTTGCGCCGCGTGCATTGGTTTCAAACATTTGCAAGGGCCGTTTTCAAAATGTGGTTCTCGCTTTAGCGCCGCGCATTGGTTGCCATGTGCAACAGAAGTTTCACAGACTCCAATGGTTAACGTACAAGAACTGGTGTTTTGGAGGGATGAGGGATTACTATGGTGCAACAGTTTCGCTGACTCGCAGTGTTGAAGTCGCAGGAAGGGTGTTCTGGCACGATTCAGAATCATCCAGACGCAACAGTCAGGTTGACCCATGGCGTTGGAATCCCGAGGAACATGTTTTGGTATGCTTCAGGATCTTCAAACGGTTGTCTTCCAACGAGGCAGTTCCCTCAGTAGAAATGAACCGCTGTATATAGCCTATCAAGAGGGAGCTTGGAGGGTTGATGACCCTTGGGTTTACACTTGTCCTCCTCCTCCTCCTCCTCGTCCTCCTCCTCCTCCTGATCCTCCTCCTCCTCCTTCTTCTCTGCCTCCTCCTCTTTCTCCTCCTCCTCCTCCTCCTGCTGCTCCTCTTGCTCCTCCTGATCCTCGTCCTCCTGCCTGTGGTCCAAGAGCTCACAACTGCCACCCCAAGATCGCCCAAGAGGCCTCCAAAATGCCCCCAGAACTGCCCAAGAGGTTCCCAAGGCGGCCCCAAGAGGGTCCCAAGATGGCCCGAGGGGCCTCCAAGACGCCAAGATGGCGTTCACGACGGCACTGGAGCACCCCAAAAGAGCCCCAAGTCGGCCCAGAGAGGCCTCCAAGACGGCTTCCGACGGCGTCCGACGGGCCAGGAATGTCCCAAGACGGCCAAAGAGGCCCCCGAGAAGCCCCCAAAGGCACTCCTCCTCCTCCTCCTCCTCCTCCTCCTCCTCCTCCTCCTCCTCCTCCTCCTTCTCCGAAGGGTTTCCACACCGGCTGGGGGAACACATGGTCCGATAGCTTGGCAGAGCTCTTGCCACAACGCTCGGCCACATGGGCGAGTCCAAAAGCCAGGGGGCGGCGGGGCTTCGCCGTAGGCTTCTTCGATCGTGCTGAACATCAACAGAATCGCCAACAGCGTCATCACGATCACCAATCTAAGCACCATCAGCATAAGCAGCATCAGCATCATCATGATCAGCATCAGCGTCAGCATCAGCATCAGCATCATCATCATCATCATCATCATCATCATCATCATCATCATCATCAGCATCACCATCATCATCATCAACAGCATCAACAGCATTATCAGCATCAACAACAGCATAATCATCATCGTCAGCATCATGATCATGATCAGCATCATCAGTATCAGCAGCTTCGTCACCATAATCCTCATCAACAACATCATTAGCATCAGCATCATCTTCATATTGTGCCTCACATCCTTCATCAACCTCATCATCAACAGCAGCAGCATCACCAGTATCATCAGCATAATCCTCAGCATCCCCATCATCATCAGCATCATCATCGCCATCGGCATCCTCATCATCAGCAGCATCACAGTCATCAGCATCCTCATCAGCATCAGCATCATCAGCATCAGCATCACCATCGTCATCAACAGCAACACTGTCAGAATCAGCATCAGCGGCACCAGCCCCATCATCATCATCATCATCATCATCAACATCATCATCATCATCAAAAACATGATCGACCCACGAACCCGGAAAATAATATAAAAAATAAAAGGCATGGCAACGTTTCAAGGACACCTGATTGGGTGACGGGCAAATGAAATTCTGTATGTGTCAATCTTGATGTACTATGCCGAATGCTGTGCTGTGCTACGCAGTGCTGAACGGCGATGTGTCATGCCGTGAGTGTGCTCTATATAGCGTTGTGGATCGAGTCCTTCCTGGCATCCGAGTCCTGACCGAACTGATCTGGATCTTAAGCTCGAGCTGCCTGAGCAGATGGTAGCTGCCCCAGAACTTACCGACAGAGGGAACATGCCAGGAGGACGCGCCGCGGAACGTCCCAAGGGACGCGCCAGGCGACGTGCCAGGGACGTGCCATGGGCACGCACCGCGGGACGTGCCAAGGGGACGCGCTACGGAATGTGCCAGTGGACGTGCACCGCGCGACGTGCCAAGGGGGACTCGCCACGGGAAGCTCCGCGGAACGTGCCAGGCAACATGCCAGGCTGCAATGCTAAGGGTATCGATATTAACGTACCGTGCCGAGGGCTGTGCTGTGCCTGGGCGACCTGGACACGTGAAAACAAGCGTATCCCTCAAGACATTCTGAACACATCCTCATGCTAGGCATCCGCCTGGGCAACCTGGACACGTGCAAGCCAGCATCTCGATCGAGACTTCGTCAACACATCCTCATGCTAGACATCCGCCTGGGCGACGAGGACGCGTGAAACCAAGCGTCTCGCTCGAGACATCCTCAACAAATCCTGGCGATAGACCTCTGCCTGGGCAACCTGGAGTCGTGAGACCAAGCGTCTCGCTCGAGACATCCTCAAGACCTGGGCACGTGAAAACAAGCATGTCACTTCAGAGATCCTCTGAATTCAGGTCCCCAGGAGAGGACCATCTACAACACAAAACAAGCATTTCGCTCGAGACATGCTCACCAAATTCTGAAAAACAAGCGTTTCGCTCGAGACATCCTCCATTTGTTGAATTCGCCGGCACACCTCGACCTCGATATTTATCGCAAGCGAGATTCGCCGGCCCACCTCAAGTCAAACCCGGGGGTAAACCCACTAAAAGAGAACCCTGGGCCTAAGCCCTTTCCGGGAACAGCATCAGCATCATCAGTTGCAGATTCCTCATCGTCAAAAACCATCATCAGCATCACCGGCGTCATCATCAGAATCGGCATAATCACCAACAGCAGCGGCAGCAGCATCATCACAAGCATCATCAGCGTCATCACCTTTCATCTCCAAATCCTCATCATCATCCCTCACAGCATCACCAGCATCATCGTCAGCAGAATATTCGGCATCACCATCATCAGCATCAGCATCAGCATCATCATCGGCATCGTCATCGTCGTCATCATCCTCATCGTCACGGTCACATACATCGTCATCATCATCATAATCCTCAGCATCATCATCAGCAGCAGCATCGTCATCATCGTCATCCTTATCATCATCATCATCATCATCATCATCATCACCATCACCATCACCACCATCGTCGCCATCATCATCATCATCATCAGCAACACTAGCATCCGCATCATCATGATCATTAGCATCCTCATCCTCATCATCAGCATCAGTATCATCATCATCATCATCATCATCATCATCATCATCATCATCATCATCATCATCGTCAACAGCATCAGCATCAGCATCATCAGCATCAGCAGCAGCTTCATCAGCAGCATCATCGGCATCAGCATCAGCAGGAGCATCAGCAGCATCGTCATCAGCATCAGCATCATCATCAGCATCATCATCATCAGCAGCAGCATCAGCACCACCAGCATCAGCACCATCAGCATCATCAGCAGCATCATCAACATCATCGTCATCATCATTGTTCCCCGCCTCCTCCTGCAAGCGCCCGCCCAAGCCCCCGGCCACTTGTCTGGCAGCCCAGCGACGAACCGCTCGACAACGGCCATCTCGCCCTTGTCCAGCCTGAGGCAGGCTGCTTCGGGAAAAGCGCATAACGCGGCAGAAGCTGCATTGGAAGATCAGATGGAGGAGAGCGGAGGAGGAGAACGAACGAACGAACGGACCACCTCTGCGGACAGCCGTCCGCACCTAGCTGAGACCAGGTGGGGGAGGTCACGGGCTCTTGGAACCTACAAACATGCATCGCAACTGCGAGACGGCTAAAAGGTTCAGATAGGATGAAAGGCCCGGAGAGGAGGAAGACAAAAAACATATCCACCGACCCCCCCCCCGATCCGGAGACAGTTGGCTGTCCAGATCCCACCTCTCCACACCCCCAGAGGTCAAAAATCACATCTCGCTCCTTCTCCTCCTCCTCTTCCTCCTCCTATTCCTCATCCTCCTCCACCGCCTCCTCCTCCTCCTCTCCCTCCTCCTCCTCCGCCAAATCCTCCTCCGCCAGAATCCTCTTCCTTCCTTCGCCTCCTCACCGCGCTCTCCGCAAATTCCTCCTTCTCATCCTTGGCTCCTCCCTCCGCCGGCTCCTACATCCTCCTCCGCTGCGCCTCTCCTCGCTCTCTCCTTCGCGACTCTTCCTCCTCCTCTCCTCTCCTCCTCCTCCGCTCCTCCTCCTCGCTCCTCCTCCTCCGCTCCTCCACCTCCTCCTCATCCTGCCTCCTCCCCTCCTCCTCCTCCTCCTCCTCCTCCTCCGCCTGCTCCTACCTGTCCTCCTCCTCCTCCTCCTCCTCCTCCTCAACCACCTCCTCCTCCTCATCATCATTATCATCATCAGCATCATCGGCATCACCATCATCATCATCAGCAGCATCATCATCATCAGCATCATCATCAGCAGCAGCATCATCATCATCGTCATCATCGTCTGCATCATCATAATCATCATAATCATCATCATTACCAGCATCAGCATCATCATCGCCATCACCAGGAGCCGAATCAACATCAGCGTCATCAGCTTCATCAGCATCATCAGCATCAGCATCCTGATCATCATCATCGTCGTCGGCATCGTCACCAGCATCAACACCATCAGCATCATCGTCCAGCCTCTCCTCCTCCTCCTCCTCCTTCTCGGAGTCGTCCTCCTCCTCCTCTTCATCCTCATCATCATCATCAGTAGCATCGTCAGCATCATCAGCATCGTCATCCGCATCATCATCGGCATCCTCATCATCATACGTTTCGTCATCCGCATGATCCTCATCAGCAGCATCATCGTCACCATCAGCATCATCATCAGCATCATCACCATCGTCATCATCATCGTCCGACTCACCATCAACAACATCAGCATCACAAACATCATCAGCATCACCAACAGCATCAGCATCACCCTCATCATCCGCCTCATCCTCCTCCTCCTCGTAAACATCAGCAACATCAGCAACATCAGTAGCAGCATCAGCAGCATCGTCATCAGGCTCGACATCCTCATCAGCAGCAGCAGCAGCGCATCAGCAGCAGCAGTGTCAGCATCAGCATCAACAGCAACAGCATCATCATCAACAACAGCAGCATCGGCATCCTCATCGGCATCAGCATCAGCATTACCATCGTCATCGACATCATCCTCATCATCAGCAGCATCATCAATGTCAACATAATCATCCTGGGCTGCATCAGCATCATCATCAGCATTAGCATCGTCCGCATCACCATGAGCAGCAACAACATCAGCAGCCGCATCCGCATTGCGACCATCATCACCAGCAGCAGCATCAGCAGCAGCAACATCAGCAACACCACCATCAGCATCATCAGCCGCAAAAGCCGCATTAGCATCAGCATCAGCATCAACATCCGCGTCCGCATCATCATAACCTTCCTCAGCAACCTCACCAGCAACCTTATCCTCATCCTCATCCTCATCCTCATCATCCTCCC